GGATCCAGGAGATATCCACGTTTGGGCTTGACGGAACAAAGAGAGTTCCACATTTGGGAAGCAGATCAAAAAGAGTTTTGCATTTGGGAAAAATCCTTGTAACGAGAGGCCCGTCGATACAAGGTGTCTGGCGGATCAAGATAATCGCTGAGGTGACGACACAAAGTTCGTGGTCCTTGTCTTGAGGGGAGGATTGTTATGGAACAATCCAAGTACCACATCGGAAATACAAGGGAAGGAACCCTTGTATATACGTGTCCACCTAGCCCAATTAGTACGAGATCTTTTACGGAGGACACCCAAAAGTAAAACCGTGCGTGGTTGGTCCAAAGCAGACAATATCGTACTAATGGAGCTAACCGAGTTTGACAACATGTATTGCTAATATTGCTCGAGGGTCAAGGAGAATAAGACCAAGAAGCTAGAGCATCCCTACCAAGGTTGTCAACCCGCGGGTTGACCCGGACCCGGTCGAGCTAGTGGGTCAAGGGTTAATGGGTCACTCGTTTTAGCCCGGTTTAGCCCGGAAATATGGCAAAAGTCATTATAATGTACTTATCCTGATAAATTATATAAAATCTCATCTAACATATGAGTTATAACATATAATATTACATCAAAGTAACATGCCGTACTTAGATCCAACATATTGTGAAAATTCACACACACTTTTATAACATCAATATTCAAATGATCAACTTAGGATTCAAAAAATTGAGTTAGGTTAAAAGAAAAATCGGAAAATAGGCGCATTTCGCAAGCCAAAGAAAAAAATGACACAATTTGACCTCCAACCCAGTACCTTGTAGCGGTCGACCCGACGAATGCGTACGGTCCGTTTTTCTCACCGAGCCAGGATTAAAGTGGGTCAACCCGTGGGTTGACAACCTTCATCCCTACCAAAAATATCAAATTCGTACCGACTTGATACCAAGTTTCAGTAATGGCGGCAGTCAGGATCGACAGTCAGCAGGCAGTTATTATGTTAAAGAATCGATTTGGGAAAAAAAATTTAATTTCCTAAATTACACATTTAACCTCCACCACCAACCATGGGATTATTCTTGAACGGACTCAAATATCGTCCACAAATGTCAAACCATGTGGTTCAACTTATGATGCACTCTATTCTACCCATTAACTGTTCTTTCTACCGACTGAGGATACGGATAAAACTGATGAACATAATACTTTTCTAGAGTTCTACACAACACGCCCATAACAAGTCCAAAAAAATTGCTTCAGAACCTGTATTCCAGACGCAACCAGTAATTTTATTCTCCTGTGTTTTGGTTTTTGTGCTTTAATGAGAGAAACAGGCCATCATTTCCAGAGAGAGAGAGTCCATGTCCAGCCAAAAAAAAACAAAAAGAGATCCAATGAACCCATAATAATTACGACCTACCAATGTATCGTAGTGAGTGGTCCTTACATACACTACCCTGACCAGCATGCAATATATAGGGCATTTGTGAAAATGTTTTCACAAGGTAGCCAGTCGGAGTCGGTACAGTGTCCAATATTTTTATTTATGTATTCATTTATTTATTTACAAAAGTCGTGGTTTTAGGATTACGATTCATTACGAGAGTTTTTTTTTTTTTTAATTTTTATTAATTTTAGTGGCCTTACACTAAGGTTCTTTTGACATTTTTTTCTTTATTTGTAAGTGTACACATATTTATCTCATTTCTTTTAATCTCATATGCGAACCTTTTAGTAATTATTTTTTATTTTTATTTTGTCCTTTTTCATATACTTAAATCGACATCTTTGTTTGTATTTGACATTTTTTCTTAGTTTTTTGACAATTCAAATATAATTAGACCAATCATGCGTATTCGGATCACGTGTATATAGGTGATGCGATTTTCATTTTTGAATTCTTATAGATTGACAATCTTTGTGATTTTTTTGGGTATTAAAACTAGAGGTCGGTTGATCACCCGTCTTTCAATCACATGTGTTTCGTCAATCCATTTTCTATTTTTGAATTCTTATCGATTGACATCCTGTAAGTTTTCCAACTATTCAACTATTTTTTACCCACTTTGACCCTGACCCAGTGAGAAAAACGGGTCGCACACACCTGTTGGGTTGACAACTGCAAGGTACCGGGTTGGAGGTCAAACTGTATTGTTTTTTTTCTTTTGGTTTTTGAAATGTGCCTATTTTTGGGGGGTTTTTTTTTTGCCTAACCCAATCTTTTTAATTCTAAGTTGGAAATTTGAATATTGATGTTACATAAGTGTGCGAATTTTCACTATAAATTGGATCCAAGCACGTCAAGTTATTTTGGTGTAATGATATATGTTATTATTCATATTTTTGACAAAACTTAATATAATTTATAAATTTATGAACAATATAATGACTATTTTCATATATCCGGACTAAACCGGACTAAATCGATCGACCCATTAACTCTCAACACACTTGCTCGATCGGGCCAACGGGTTAAACCGAGTTGAGAACCTTGCTCAGCATCTTCGTACTTACACTTTCCCTATCTTTTTGTAATTAATATAGATTAGTAATTGCAGCAACCCATTAAAGCTTACCATCGAACCCAATAAGTACTTTCACCAAATCCCCCACTCTTTGTTTTAGAATTAGATTAGTAGGTGCATCAACCAGGCCACATCATCAACCCAAACCTAAGCTAAGTCGTTGCAATTACCCATTTCTTGGATCTAAATAAGTTCCTTTTCCGTCAAACAAAAAGAAAACCAGAATAAAAAATAAAGAAAAGAGAACCTCATCACCAATTGCTTGTTCCTGAAGCAAATATTTTTCAGTGCTCTTTGGGGGGAAAATCATGACTAAACCTTTGGCGTAGAAATTGAAGGCAGTCCCCAGGCACAGGCAGGCAACAGACGATGACAAACCTTCAACGTCACCTGTGGGAATGACGAATCGAAGCGAGACCAACATAAAACCACAAGTTCTCATTTTCCCCAGGCGGACATCATGGGCACAGACAATGCAGCTCTCTCTGCATGCTGAACCAGGCTACGATTTTGATGCGCAAAGGTCGCGTGCTTCGTGATTCTAGATCGTTGGATGCACATGGTAAACGCTGGTTCATAAGATTGTCACACCGGAGGCCCGGGATGACATATAGCAGCGTAGCCAGCAGATTAATGCGTGCAAGTTGCAGATTTTTGTTCGTTAGTTCATCGACATAAATCCAAATTTGACTGGGGGCCGGCCTAGAACAGATCCGATCCGCCATTTCGGAGTAGAAGAGAAAAAAAATGAGAATGAAACCAGAGTTGCTGTCCTTGCTTCTATGATGCTGTTCAATGCATGCGCCAGGAATGATTGAATCAAATGAAGAGCAATCAGAGGCAAAGCCACCACAATTTCATGCCCTCACCCTCTTCGTATTGCGCTTAATCATTCTCAATAGAGTACCTAAGACAGACACCATCATATATATAATATAATAGCTTCTCAACCCCTCCTCCTAACCACCGCAATCATCGAATCCACAAAAATCCCCGCCTTGTTAATGTTTATCATCACCACCAAAGCTTCCCAGACTTTTCCTGGACATGGTTTGTCCCACGTCCCTCGACCCTGAACAAAGGACTTTGACTTACCCTATCAGCCGGCCATGTGCTTCCACATTTTTGCTCAAGACCGACCCGAGGTGATCATGTCTTCCGATGGACTAGAGAGACCATCCGTCCAGCGACATCCACTATGCACTCATCGCCCCTGATCATCATTAGAAATGCACAATTGACCCACTCTCTTCATTAACCTAATCCTGCGTTCGAATTCAAATGCTGTCTACTTGCAAGACAGTCGAGCATATAAAAGAGCAGAGGATAGTGGTACCTAGCAACGCGGAAATAGAGCCGCACAGGTGCAAGTGAGACAGTGCTACGTTTGTCTAATCTTCATTCTGATTCTCAGAGAAAACTGCACACAAAATGAAAAACATCAGAATGCAATGATGTATATATTATCTGCCTGATCAGAATCTTCAGTCTGGTTTTCCAGGATACTTGCTCTTCCAAGTGGTGCAGACCACAAGAGACTCATGTTCCCCTGGACTACGCTATTGCAGGTACAGGGCAAGAGGCTGATCAAATGACGGACGAAAAACTCTGCCAATAAACAGAACAATAGAATTTTGCACATCTCTCCCAAAGAAACCAAAGAACTAAACGATCCATTTTCAATGTTCACTAGCTTTGATTCGTGAGAATGCTACTCACGATTGGGAAAAAGCAACAGCTGACCAAGGAGAAGTTACCAGCAGTAGAAACAAATATCAACTTTCCTGTAAGCCCTATAACTAGACCAACTTCCCCCAACAACTATTAGAATGGCTGAACACCATCAACCAAAAGCACATGCTGTGTGAAGCCCGTCAAGAATACAAAAAACAGGAAATATAGCATACACGAGTACAATTGCACTTAAAACATCTGACCTACTACTTGCTGCCAATAAATATGTCATCCCCAAAGAATGACATCTCTGCTAAATGACTACTGCGAGTAGGAATATGCAAACGAGGAAGCTACAACCAGCAGCAGCTCACAGCAGTAGACAATCTTCCTGGCATATCCAAATAAGCTTACCGGCCCTGTTTCAAAGAGACTAAGAATGCAAGCAACCATATGTCACAAAGATCCATTCAATACTTCAAGCTGAAAGCTAGCTCAACTGCTGCAGCAACATAAGTGAACATAAGTTTTCACTTGACAACCACGACCATCCAAAGGGCGAGATTGGTCTCGGAGCCGTTCACATACCAGTGACTATAAAAGCAATTTCATCGATCAAATCGTTACCAAAGAGACATAAAGTCAAATTAAAAGATCAAACATAGTTCAAAACTAGAAAAGTTTCTACGAATCATCCGGTACAGAACTGAATCATTCTTAGAAAGGCTTCTATTCTTTCAGAATCGTAATCATACAAATTTCAAAAACGACATGGAACAAGCACCACAGAAAGATTACACCTAAGCTCTCATATGCTCAAGCATCTTCATCAGATCCTTTTGCACCAAATGGATCGTGGGTCGGACCGACATCCTGTCCAATATGGCGCTGGACCAAACGCTGCAAATCAGCCATAACCTTGTGCTCACGTTTCGCTTTCTCTTCATAGTTAAACATAGCCAAAGCACGCTTGTCTTCAGCACTGTAAACCTGGTTTTCTTTCCTAATACGAATTGCATTCATCCTCTGATGCCTGCTACCACTCATCACATACCCTAGACCCTCAAACTTTTGAATCTCATCAGCAGAGAGACCCACCTCACCTCTTCTTGGGATACGCTTCCCTTGCTGCACATACTGCGCAATGGCATCACCTTCACCAGGTCTCAAAGCACCACCATAGCTAATGTGCCCCTCAGCTCTAGGCAAAGGCATTGGGCCAACTGCAGGTTCACCATCCAAAGCAGGTTTCTTTTGGGCCTCGATCAGTTCTTTGAACATCAGAGCTTCAGCATTCAATTCAGCTGTTATAGCATCTTCATCTGCAACTATTGGTTTGCTCTTCGTATCAATTTCAGAATCCAAATTCACATCAGAATCCGCAATTTCAGCCTCGGATTCCGATGTTCTCCTCTTCTTGGAGAGTTTAGCACCGGGACGTGATCTGCGTTTCCGCTTCTTCGACTTGGACTTCTCATTGCTCTCATCGGAATCATTACTCTCGCTATCATCAGAATCAGAATGCTTACTCTTCCTCAGACTTCTTCTGCTTCTACGGCTCTTTCTGCTGCTCTTGCTCTTCTTGGATGACTTCTTTCTCCGGCGTCGCCGCTTCTCCTCTTCAGAATCGCTTGCACTCTCACCCACATCCTCGTCGGATTCACTGTCGCTATCCATAGGTGACTTAGTTCTCCTACGCTTAGAACTCGAACTGCGTTTCTTCTTCCTCGACTTTAAATCTTCCGATTCACTCCCAGGCGAGATATCGGATTCCTTACCTCTTCTGCGCTTGGATTTCAAGCTCTTCTTCTTCTTTCTCAACCGGGAATTGTCAGAGTCGGATTCAGACGCGCTACTTCCAGAATCCCCCGACTCAGTCTCCGATTTGCCTTTCCCATCTCCCAATTTCTCTTTCCCACTGGAATCGTTCTTGCTTTCCTCCATGCCGCGCTTGTCCGAGCTACCATCTCCCCTCCGTTCCATCTCTTCCTCATCCGTCTCGTTCTCGTCCCTCGGCGGGCTCGGGGTAACCTCCCAAATACAGTAACTCAGCGACTTCCTAAGCTTCTGCCTCTTTAGCCTCCTCTTCTCCTCAAAGGTCAAATCCTTCAATTCCTCGTCGGACTCAGATTCCACATCCCTTCCGTTCCGGTAGCCACCACCATCGCTGCGGCCAAACTTCTTCGGGAGAGAATCTAGGTTTTCTTTAGCCCAAGGGCTCGGGCTTCTCCTTCTTCTGGGACTAGGGCTTCTCCTAGGGCTTCGATGAGCGGGAGATATCGAGCGGCGGCTGCGTCCTCGATCCGTCTCCCTATGGCGCTCGTCGTACCTGTTGTAGGAAGGGCTGCGACGGCGATACACAGGCGAAGAGTCGGATTCAGGCGTGTGCCGGCCGTTTTGGCGATCCGGCCGATAACTACGATCGGGAAATTCGATGATCGAAGCTGGTCTAGGCATTTTTTAGGGATTTTGAGAGAGAGAGAGAGAGAGAGGCAGGGAATTAGGGCTGGCTGGGTTTTGATTTGATTTATGTCCTCGGCGGCACAACGCCGATTTGCGAGAAAGGACTGTGCGTGGTGTTATTTAATCAAACCCGTCGGTGTCCACGGAGTCAGCGGTGTTCCTCCGCACATCAACGGCTGAAATTATTTGAGGGAATGAATAAATGGATCCTTTTTGGATTAGGAATTTTATATGTTTTTTTTTTCGTAAAAGGAATTTTGCATGCATTTTTTTTGTGGGACGAATTTTACATGCTTTAATTGGTGCTTTGGTTTTTTTTTTTTTATACACATTGAAGTCGTATATTTGATGTTATCGTAGAAATTTAGGTTGTAATTATACTCGTATAAGTTTTTTATGTTACAAGTTTTCTTAGGGTACAATTTTTCTGTTATAAGTTTTTTTAGAGTACAATTTAAACTTGTATCTTTAATAGTTTGGTACAACTTTAATTTGTACCTCAAAACACTAATACTTTGAAGCATAGTCGAAGTGCTCTAGAAATTTGGGAAACGAGCGATTTGGCCCCAAATTACTATTAATTCGATGAAATACGATTAGTCAGAATATCATTTGGATACATCATAATATGATTTATGATATATGTTTTTAATTATTCGAAAAGCTTAATTGTTTTGATAGCTAATAGTTTTCATTAAGCTCAACCTTTTGATCAAATCGATCAAAGGCTCGAAAAATATTGGTCACAACCTACAACCACACTCATAGTGAGGAAACGGAATGAAACCTATCAACTATACAAGTTATGGAAAATAGAAAGCTTGCCCCAAATTACTATCAAAAGTAACTATACCAAGCATGTAAACTTTATCTCTCTGTTATTGCGAAAATGTTATGAGAATCAAGTTATCATAATAATTGGGTCAATTACTGGGCTTGTGTATCTTTGTTATTAGTAGTATTTTATTGATATAGTCTTCTTTATTGTTTTCATTTTTCCAATAGGTTTGTGATTACCTTTTAGTATTTGTATAAGGATTAGTTATTGTTTCCTTGTAGTAGAAGTAGTCACGTTTTAGATAGGAGAAATGACATGTTTTATACCTATAAATATGTACTAGTTCATTCATTTAATGTCATGAGAATAACTTTGTCAGGGTCTTCCAGCAACACTAAAAACTCCATTGCATCTTTCCTTCCATAACATAGCAACAGTCTTACACCAAATAACACTATTCGCTCTTCCAACTGCCTTCCTAGATTTTGCCAGAGCACTCATCCTGGAATGGTACTCTCCTAAGAATTTGACCAAGTTTTGTAAAGGGACCCAAACACAACTGCCACAAAGTGAGTTGCTGTAAGAACAACTGCAAAACATATGATTTCTCGACTCTCGTCTTTGCAGTAGAATCACACAGTAGATAGTCACAACTATCATCCACAATCTCCCCCATTCACAAAGCCTGTCCCTTGTGTAGATTCTGTTTAAGACAACTAACCAAGTGATGAAGCTATTTTTTGGTATGAAATAATTACCCCAGAGAAGCTGCCACCAGTTGACATGTGGTGGTTTAGATATGATAGACTTGAAGATAAGGTTCACAGAGAATTTACCCAGTGGTTTTCCATCCCAAGTAGTCACTCCATTAACCATATCCAGTCTATACGAAACCAACATCTCAACTTCAGTAATCTTCTCATATAGCTGAGAATTTGTAGCAATTTCCTTTATCACTTAGAAAAACTCCCCCTGAATCTATAACGATGGGTCCAGACCACTCAAAATCTTCTCATATAGCTGAGAATTTGTAGCAATTTCCTTTATCACTTAGAAAAACTCCCCCTGAATCTATAACGATGGATCCAGACCACTCAAAAGCTACCACTTCTCATCAAAAGCAATCTAGATAAGCCTTGTCAAACAAGCAACATTCCAACTAGTTAAGTCTTTGAGACCTAACTGCCTTCTTTGAGGGAGTAGCAACATTCTCCCGAGCAAATTTTGCCTTACCCAAACCAGAGAAAATGAGAGCGAACTTTCTCAATTGTAGTGATCACTTCCTTTGGCAGAACAAAGATGGACATCTTGTATTATACTAGTGATAGTAACACAAATGAAATCATCTTCAACTTCCCAACATAAGTTAAGTTACTAGCTCTCCCGGAACGAATTCTAATAGTAATCTTGTCGTCTAACAAATCACATCCCTTGCTAGAAAGCCTCACTAAAATCGGAGGAAGTCCCAAATAACGAACATGAAGTTTCCCTTCCTTGAACCTAGTGACCTAACTACATTTACCTTAAAATCAACCGAAGAACCCCAAAGAATACCTCACATTTGTTTGGATTGTTGCACACTAGATAAAACAGAGAACTTATGTAAAATCTTCTTCACACAGCTCAAAGCATAAGCATGCCCCTCCGTAAAAATCATGAAACCATCTGCAAAACATATATGAGTGTGCCCTATATTTTTGCATTGACGATGGTGAGGTGACATATTGGTTTGTACAGTCTTATCAATCATTACAAAGAGGATCTGCATTATGATTGTGAAGAGATATGGCGACAAGGGGTCCCCTTGTCTAACACATTTCTTAGCTTGAAAGAAACCAAATAAGCTACCATGAATAGAGATGCTCAAGTAAGCCGAGCTTAAATAGATTTGGATCCAGCTAATAAATGTGTTCGGAAAGTTCATCAATCTCATAACCAACAACATAAAAGTCCAGTCAATTGAGTCAAAAGGCCTTCATGGGATCAATTTTCATAGAACTCGTAAAAGGTATCCTTTTTTCTGTTATAGCTTTGAACAATCTCTTAAGTCGTCTGTATGTTATTTAGAATACTAAGATCCTTAACAGAGGCATATTGATAATTTTGAAATTATAATAACCTTTCATCGATAACCAAACTTGTGAATAACTATTTATGATCTGTGTATTTATTAATGCAATCACTTACTTGTTTGTGGTTGAAAAGAAAACTTGCATAATAAAAAGAATTAGATGACAAAATGTTGCACAAATAGGGAAAAAAATATAACCACAACTTTTTGGCCAATATTTGTTTCTGGGTTAATTTCAAGGTTGGTCACAGTGTTTATAAAAAGCGTTCATGCTTAGTAACTAAAAATATTTAATTGCATTCGTGGTCACTGAAATTAGTTAAGTGGTTCAAATTTGGTCACTCTCCGTCCAATTCCGTTAGTTTTGTCTGATGTGGCAATCAACTTAAAAAGTTCACCATTAACTAAGTGATGTGGCAATTAAAAATAATAAATTTAATCTTTTACAATTTACCGCTCATTTTCTCACTAAAACAAGATAAATAAAATAGGAAAAAATTATAATAATTTGCAAATCGAAATCCGGCCGCCTCGCTTCTCTCTCCATCTCCATATCACTCCCCATTCCCCGATCACCTTAGATCTTCGTAAAATCCCAACTGTTTCTTTCCAACCCAAAACTCCGCGGCGGCAGGGAAGAGTCTCTCGGCGGCACCACTACACCGCCGAAGCTCTCCCTGTTCTCGCTACCCGCCGGAGTGAAGGGCGTCCACCAGTACTCTCCCGCCGCCGATCAACCTCCTCGCCTCCGTGTCGTTCAAGTGGGAGGGGGATCCCGGTAAGTCCAGGCCTCCTCGCCGCTTCCTCGACCACCACAACATCAGCCCAAACTCGCTGCTTCAATAAAAGAGTAAACTCTTTGTTGGAACAAGAAGAATTGAAGGAGGAGAGAAACAATTAATTAATCATCAATTAGAGTAATAAATGGAAGATGACGAAGCACATGAGCAGCCTGACAAGGAGCGCACTTCGACCTGAACAGGGACGTGAAGAGAGCGGCGACGGAGCTAGGGGATTGCCTGAAGATGCTGGGGTCGGTGACGCCGGACGAGGTGAAGCGGATGATGGACGAGATCGACACCGACAGCGACGACTACATTTCGTACCAGGAGTTCACCGATTTTGCCGGCGAGATTGAGACCTAAAACAGGAGTGTAAAGTTTTGTTAAGTGCGGAAACGTAAAAGACAAGTGTTTACGTGGTATCCCCGATATACGGAACTAGTCCACGGGAGAGTTTTGTTAAGTGCGGAAACGTAAAAGACAAGTGTTTACGTGGTATCCCCGATATACGGGACTAGTCCACGGGAGAGAAGAGTCTCTCCGGCTGTAGTTCTTATTACTTCGTTAATTGTTCATGGCCAATGGCCTTACAATATATACCCTGTTACAATCGTCTAGGGTTTGCTCCTCACAAGAAGAGGAATGGAGCTTCGGCTGGACAGTAGAATGGGCCGTGTAGTGGGCCGATGCCTGTGATGGACCAGGCTCGTCTAATACTCCCCGCAAGATGGCGCGTGAAGGTCACGAACGCCCATCTTGGCCAGTAAGAAATGAAAACGATCAGCACCAAGTCCTTTAGTGAAAAGATCAGCCAGCTAAAGAGTGGAGCTAACTTTGAGGGGAGCAACGTCACGAGATTGAACCCTTTCTCGAACAAAGTAGCAATCCATCTCCACATGTTTAGTGCGCTCGTGAAAAACAGGATTGGCTGCGATGTGAAGAGCAGCCTGATTATCGCAATAGAGCGGTGTGGGACCATCCTGGGGGGCACCTAGCTCGCGCAGAAGCCAACGTAACCAAAGCAATTCACTGACAGTGCTGGCCATGGCACGATATTCGGCCTCGGCGGAAGAGCGAGCAACAACCTGTTGCTTCTTGGTGCGCCAGGAAACGGGAGCTCCCCCAAGTGTGATATAATAACCTGTTGTTGAGCGACGAGTTGACTGGCAGCCTCCCCAATCTGCGTCACAGTAAGCGGTAAGCTGCAGATCATTATCAGTAGGAAGAAAGAGACCTTGTCCAGGGGACATCTTCAGATATCTGAGGATACGCTGAGCGGCATCCATATGAGCACGAGTGGGGGCATTCACAAACTGACTGAGAAGATTAACCCCATATGTAATGTCAGGTCGAGTAACAGTCAAGTACAAGAGACGACCGACCAGACGACGATAAGCAGAAGGATCCTCGGCAGGCTCAGAGTCATCTGGCCGAGTGAGATGATGATTCTGCTCAACAGGAAACAGGCTGGGCCGACAACCAGCAACCCCAGCATCAGCCAAAATGTCCAAAACGTACTTGCGTTGGCTGAGAATCATACCAGCAGAAGAGCGAGCAGCCTCAAGCCCAAGGAAATAACGGATCGGACCAAGATCCTTGATGTTAAAACGAGCATCGAGAAAAGACTTCACGCTGGATATGAAACTGAGATCATTACCGGCGAGAAGGACATCGTCAACATAAATGAGAGCAACAACAAAGGTACTCCCCCGCTGGTAGATAAACAAAGAGTGGTCTGCATGAGAAGCACGAAACTGAAGTTCACCAAGAGCAGTGGTGAACTTCTGATACCAGTTCCGGGATGCCTGTTTAAGACCATAGAGGGACTTATTTAGTCGACAGACACGAGTCTCACCAGGAGCAGCGAAACCTTCGGGAATGCGCATGTAAACCTCCTCGTCCAGGTCCCCATGGAGAAAAGCATTGTTCACATCTAACTGGTGAACATACCATCCTTTACTGACTGCAACAGCAAGGAGACTTCGAACAGTCACCAACTTGGCAACCGGGGCAAACGTGTCGTGAAAATCGACACCCTCAATTTGAGTGTAGCCTTTGGCGACAAGGCGAGCTTTATAACGCTCAATAGAACCATCAGGGTGAAATTTTATTTTATACACCCATTTGCAGTCAATGCAACGTTTTCCTGGTGGTAGATCAACGAGACTCCATGTGCCATTTTTCTCAAGGGCACTGATCTCAGTGCGCATGGCGAGACGCCAACGTTCATCAACAACGGCCTGCCGAAAAGTGCGAGGCTCCACCTGGGTTGTTATGGCTGCAACAAAAGCGCCATAGAAAGGAGTGACACGATCATAAGCAACATAAGACGCCATGGGGTAGCGAACAAAATTCACCTTGCTACCAGTGTAGTAGTCTGCCAGACGTCGGGGCGGGCCACGGACACGATCTCCACGCCGGAGCTCGGGAGGCCCAGTGGGCTGGGATGGAGCCGAAGGTCCAGCAGGCGAGGGGCTCGTGGGAGGAGAGGGCACAGGCCCGGTAGTCGGCCCGGGTGAAGGGGAGCCCGGCTGAGCGGCGGGGCTTGGCTGGTCATCTTGGGCCGGGCGAGGCTGCGCGTCGGGGGCCTGAGTAGGCTGGGGCGAAGGAGTCTGCGCCTCATCAACTGGTGGGCCTTGGCCCGAGCTGGCACCAAGCCCATTAGCAGGAGAAAGAAGGAGCTCGTCTTCTTCATGCTCAGGGGGCTGATGAAAAACCTGCGAGGGAAGCCAGTGAAAATCTTTAGATGTCACTGGGTTAAAAGGAAACATGGATTCGCAAAAAATCACATCCCGACTAGTGATCATTTTGCGGGTCGACAGGTCGTAGGCGCGATAGCCCTTCTGGCTAGCAGCATAGCCGAGGAACACACAAGCGCGACCACGATCGGAGAACTTCCCAAGAGCAGCATGGGTGTCTTTACAATAAACAAGGCAGCCAAAAACACGAAGATGAGTGTAAGAAGCAGGTTTGCTAAAAATAATCTCGAAAGGGGTCTTATTCCTGGTTGCCGTAGTGGGCAAGCGATTAATCAAGTAGGCAGCAGTCAAGATACACTCGCCCCAGAAACGAATAGGTAGAGACGCCTGGAAACGAAGTGCACGGGCTGTTTCAAGGAGATGACGATGCTTCCTTTCTACAACTCCGTTCTGCTGCGGTGTATCAGTACATGAGGTCTGTAAAAGAATACCCTGACGAGCATAAAAATCACGAAGAGTTCCAGTGGAAAATTCGAGGCCATTGTCTGCCTGTATGCGCTTGACCCTGCGACCAAACTGTGTGAGCACCATGTGATAAAACATCTCAATATAACGACCAACTTCAGATTTAAACCGAAGAAGATACACCCAGACACCGCGACTATAGTCGTCAATGATAGTCAAAAAATAGTGAGCACCACTAAGAGAGGCAGTTTGGTAGCCACCCCAAATATCCATGTGAAGTAGTTCAAAACAATCGGTAGTGCGAATAGCACTTATTGGGAATGAGTTCCGAGTTTGTTTGGCACGGAAACAAGAATGACAATTATCACTGATTGTCTTTTGCAAAGGAATAACAGGACTAAGCTGAGATAACTTCAGGGACGATGGGTGACCAAGCCGGGCGTGCCACAAATCACTCGAAACTCCTGCTGCCTGGGTCACGGCATGAGCTTGAACCTGCCTGCAGCCAAATAAACGCAGATAGTAGAGGCCCTCACGGAGTTCCCCCTTCCCAATCACGCTCTTCGAGTGTAAGTCATGAATTATGCAGAAATCACCCAGAAAAATTAAAGCCACACGATGTTCCTGACAAAGACGGCTGACAGACAACAGATTACAACGAAATTCGGGGACATGGAGTACGCGCCCCAAAGTAAAACCAGCAGCAAGATCAACAGAACCAATACGTGTAACCGGGATACTTGCCTCATTGGGAATGCGAACCGGAGGACTATGTCGCTCAGAATCATACGAAGTAAACAGAGATGAATTCATGGCTATATGTTCGTTACACCCAGAGTCAATAAGCGACTCAGGTTCAGAAGAGAACGAATACTTACCAGCCATGTTGCTAACCGGGGCAGTAGAGCCCATGAGATTACCTCCGAAAAATTGCTTTAGCTGCTCTAATTGCTGAACAGTAAAGCCGACCACTGGACTAGTTTCAGCCTCGGTTTGGGCTGCACGGGGCTCGCGGCTCCTGCCACCATCACGATCCCGATCACGGCGACGAGGCGACTGATCAGTTCCTTTGTCACGGGAGGGCCATCCAATCAGCTCAAAGCAAGACTACTTTAGATGGCCATTTTTGCGGCAGTGGGTGCAGTGAAGTTTGCTGCGTTCACCCGAGGATCGATCCCTGCCACCTCGGCGTGTGTTGTTGCTGTCTTTGTCGGCTTCTCCTTGTGCCGCAAAGGCTGCGGCTTCCGGAGCAGGGCGCCTATTCTGTGTGAGAGATCGTTGCTGCTCGTCGTTGTAGACGATCCGAAAAGCTTCAGGGAGCGGCGGGGTAGGTGTCATAGAGAGGATCTGGCTTCGTACCATGGCAAATGTTTCGTCGAGACCCAGAAGAAAATCCAGCAAGCGAAGGCTTTCGTTCTAGTCACGGCTGCGTCGGCCACAAGAACACAGCGGCGGGGGAAGGATGGACTGAGTTTCTTTCCAGACCCGGCGAAGCTGCGTGTAAAAGTTGGACACTGTCTGCTTTTCTTGCTGCAAGAGGCTCACATGACGACGAAGTTCAAAGGCCCTAGTGAGATTACCTTTACTGAAGCGGTCACGAAGGTCTTCCCATATCTCCTGAGCTGTCTTCGCATGCACCACACTGCTGCGAATTTCGGAGTCCATGGCTGTGCGAAGCCACCCCTTTACAAGGGCATCACAGCGCACCCATTGGTTGGTCTCAGGAGCGCTAGCTGTTGGTCGAGGCAAGCTGCCATCGACGAAACCGATCTTGTGCTTCGTAACAAGGGCATCGGTCATCTCCAACACCCATTCACCATAGTTGGAAGGCGTCAAGAGACTGCTGACGTGCAAATGTCCAGTGCTGTCCGATTGATGGATGAACAAAGGACTTAGAGGATCGGGGCTGTAGCCACTCGAAGTGCCGGTCTTGGACGGCGGCGTGGACTCGAGGTAGGAGGAATCATCATCTCCAGCCATGGTCGAACTTCAAAGATCGAGCTTCACAGCTCTGATACCATGTAAAGTTTTGTTAAGTGCGGAAACGTAAAAGACAAGTGTTTACGTGGTATCCCCGATATACGGGACTAGTCCACGGGAGAGAAGAGTCTCTCCGGCTGTAGTTCTTATTACTTCGTTAATTGTTCATGGCCAATGGCCTTACAATATATACCCTGTTACAATCGTCTAGGGTTTGCT